GGGGAGGAGCATCGGGCGGAGTGTTCAGGAGAGGGGAGGAGGAAGAAGTGAGCTGGGGGCGGGGTGGAGAGCTGTGGCGCGGGGCCCGATTCAGCCGAATCGGCTGAATCGGCCTAAAGCCAGCCCTGCCCGCGGGCGGCCCCAGGGCGGAGGCATCGGCAGCCCCGTTCGTTCCCCTGCGGGACCCGAGTGGGATGGGGGCTGTGGGAGTCAGAAAAAGGAACAGTGACTTTTACTGTTTCCACCCAGTTTCAAACCAGGGACGTTTTGTGTGTTAGGTGAACATGATAACCACTACACTACGAGCTTCTCTTTTTTTTGCCAGTCTTTGCCAAATGCGTAGGAATGTTTTCTCTAACTACAGAAGCTACCTAATACAATGTCTATATCTATGGCCTTCCTGCTCACAAAGCGGTCATGCCCCTGCCCAAGGCTGGCTCAGGCAGGATCGCTAGCGAGGCATGATACTTTTGCCGTTAAGCAAACACAGCAATTCTTTCCTGGCCTCAGCCACTGAATGCCACCATGCATTATGCTGTGCTCTAACAGTACGGGAAGACTGCATGATCTTGGAAAACATGTAATCACAAGTGTGGTTTTTCTGCCTTCTAATCTGCGATAACCTCAGGGACGGAGATGATAGGGGGAGCATAGAAACATTTTGGGGGGACTGCTGAGTTCGCCATGCTGGCCAAACAGGAAATGAAATTCCAAAGTTCCCGGGGCTTTTCCTGTGTACCTGACTAGTACATCTGAGTTCAAAGTGCTGTCCAGAGCCATCACAAGGGAGCACTCTGGGATAGCTCCTGGAGGGCAAAACCGTTGAACTGCATCCACACTACCCCAAATTCGACCCGGCAATGTCAATTTCAGCGTTAATCCCCTCATCGGGGAGAAGAACAGAAATCAATTTTAAGAGCCCTTTACATCGACAAAAATGGCTTCGTCATGTGGACAGGTGCAGGATTAAATCGATCTAACGCTGCTAAATTTGACCTAAATTCGTAGTGTAGACCAGGGCTTCTACTTGTTCCCAGCTGACTCAAACGAAGCCGCGCAAACCCACTTACACCGAGGATGAGCGTCCACACAGTCCGCTGCAGCAGTTGCGTAACCCGGTTTAAATCCCCCCCTTGGGCTGGTATGGCAAGCGCCCCCCCAAGATAAGGGGCTTTCTGTGGTCCGAGCGGCAGCGGAGGGGTCCCCGCCTGGCAGCACAAGGGAGGGGGCTCGCCCCAGAGCTCTAGCCCTCCACCCGCTCGGGGATGTGAGCGGGCCTTGGCTGGGGCCAGCGACCCCGTGTCCCGGGAGCTGCCCCAGCGCAGGCCTAGGCGCGAGGCGCTGGCGGGTGCCAGGCTCCCCGGCACAGGCGGCTCCTGCGCGCCGCACGGCGGGCTTGGGAGGCGGAGCCCGGCGGCCGCGCGGCGACGAGGGAAGGGCGGCCCGGAACTTGGGAAGGCGGGAGAGCCGGGGCGGAGCTGCCTGTCGTGGGGGCTCTCGCTGTGTTGTGTGGGCACCCGCCCGGTGAACCCGGGGTCCCCGCTGTCTGCTGGCTCCGGGCGCGGAGCGCGGCTGCCCGGGGAAGGGGATGGGGCGGGAAGTGGGGAGGGTTTAAGGGGGACGGAGATCGACGGTGAGAGAAGGGGGCTTCCGAGCAGGCTGTGCCCCGTGCCTGCGGGTGCAGGAGCCGCCCGCCATGCCTGCTTTCCGGCAGGTCGGGGAGAAGCAGCTTCCCCAGGAAATCATCTTCATGGCCTGGTCTCCCAAGAGGGATCTCATCGCCCTTGCCAACAAAGTGGGGGAGGTAAGGCGGGGCCGAGGGGAACGGGGGCAGCTGGAGGGCCCGGCTCAGCGAGCTGGAAATGGTGGGTAGAGAAACCGCCTCCTTATACAGGGCTGCTGGGATCTCTCCTGCTAGGGGGAGCGGGGTTCTCAGCTCACAGCGAGGGGCCTGCTGCCTGCCCCCTCCACGAGCCGTTCCCTTAGGGTTCACCACACAGGGCTCCGCTCCGTGGGTCCAGTCCAGTGCCCTGCCTCTGGCAGTGCCCCTACCTGGTACTCCAGAGGGAAAGAACTCTAGTCTCCCACTTGCCAGCTGGGCAGTGCTGTGCCGGGGGGTAGCATTGGTTACCCTCAATGGTCATTACTGACATATCCAAAACATGCCTCCTTATTCCTTATGGCCTCTTCAGACACATGAATAGTGGTGCATAGCTGTCTCCAGTCTTAGTGTGGTATGTATCTGTATGAGTGTGTGTGTGTTTTTTTTTAAACCCTTCACATGAGAATGAGTTGTTAAGTGCCCTGGGTTTACCATGTTGGCAGTTCCAAGGCATTTTGTTAACTGTACAGCTAGTTTAGCCAAGAACTGTGTTCTTCCATGCTGGCTGCATGGCACAGTTGCCAACATCTGTTCAGGAGAGACTCAGGTTTACAGCAGCTGCTTGATGTGTGTTGCAAGGCAGAATTTAGTGGAACAGTGGTGTGAAGAATCTGGCACAATGCCTGAATATGCTGTATCTGAATCTATCTCAAATGTTAAGTCTCTGATGACTTTGGGAAGCATCCTGTTTTCCTAAAGTGTTTTTAAAAATTGCTTGCTGATTTTCTTCCTGTCTTGTGTTCTCTCACAATCCTGATGTTCTTCAGATGTGTTCTGGAAAAGGGGTATCATTTAAATGTTCATCCCGTCACCACAAGATTCCGTACTCATCTTCAAAATGTTCAGGTTAAGATCCCTGGGAGTAACGAGCAATAGTTGCTGCTGGGGGTGAAGTGGGTATATTGTCTCTGTGTGTTTTTTTAACTATATATGTGGGCCTTTGTCCACAATATAATAGTTCTTGTATATTGGGCCAAAAATACTTTGTGATAGGAGAATTTTCGCCTTACTTTATCCTTTCTATTTTTTTACCAATCTAAGTAAATGGTAATTCTCAGCAGAATGCCTGTTTTTGTGGTGTGATTTAACAAGTGTATAAAATTAATTAATATTTAAAATAATTTTAAAACCAATAAAAGCATCAAAAACTAGTTAGTGGTGCAGAGGCAGACTGTATGTTCTGGAACAACATGTTATATATCAGTTTCTTTCTTGAGGTAACGTAATTCAGAACTTCCCTTGCCAGTTTGCCACATATTGCTTCTGATCTTATGGCAGTGCTGTTCGCTGATGACAGGGTAGGGGGGTTGCTTCGATCAGAGACCGTTTTTTCTGGTCTCTCTCTCAGTTCCTGTTTTCCTTGTTTCCCTCTCTCCCTCCACAACACATTCTTTTTGTTAAAAACTCCACTGTCTACCAGTAGTTTTCAACCTGTGGTCCACAGACCCATGTGGGTCCGCATAGTATGTCTAAGATTTCCAAAAGGGTCTACACCTCCATTTGAATTTTTTTAGGGTGTCCGCAAATGAAAAAAGATTAAAAACCACTGCTCTACACTTTGGTCTCCTCATGATGAATCTGGCTATGGATGGGAAGATCAACTGCAGTGCTTCCACAATACAGTTACTATCTGATGGGGAGGCTTCTCTAAATACCATACGATTCCGATTGGCCAGGTTGATTGTAGACTTCAGGTCTTAACCTAAAACCTCTTTTCATTGCTTCGTAGTAGACAGTATGCCCCAGAACTCTGTGTGTGTATGTATGTAGAATGAATGCTTTCTTGATACAAATAGTTCTAGATCTGACTTTCAGGATGTGGGGATTTATTTAAGTCTAATAAAAAGGAGTGCATCTTTAGTGGCTGACTTACAAAATATTGTTAAAGGAGGAAGATGTTCAAGTTTCCTACATTTAATCTATCTGTTTTTCAGGTTTTACTTCACCGACTTGCAAACTTTCAACGTGTTTGGAGTTTGCCACCAAATGAAAATACAGGGAAAGAAGTTACAGCCCTTGCTTGGAGACCAGATGGCAAAAGTAATGTTAAATATATGATGCTTTGTGCTGCAATAAAAATGGTGTTGGAAATCAACAGATACCTTTAGTGAACACGGTACCAACTATCTCAAAAAGAAAATACCCACTACAAAATATTAAGAAAAGGGTAGCTTAATTTTATGTAGCAGTACTGTTAAAATGATAGTGAAAGGTACCTCTTTGATGTGTGATGTAATGTATAAAGAATGGCCAGATTATTGTGGCACTGAAGTAACAGGTGACATGTAAAATCTGATTGCAATTATGAGAATATTATGATTCAAATTGCACGGCACAATTTTCAACTCTTAAGAGTGCAAAGATGTTCTATGTCAATCATCCATCTGCATATGAATGAGCAGAATCTCCAATGAACTGGCATTCGTTGGGAATGAGTTAATTAAAAAAGATGAATATGGTCACGGAAATCCTTATGCAGATATTGCCCAATGAATATTCGTGTCAGTGTTCTAATCAAGTAGGGATGAGTTCTTGTGAAAATCTTAGAATTATGTTATGTTGCAATAAAATATCCTTGCTAATTGAACAGTGCGTCTCAAATGTATTTTTGGCACTATATTTGCTAAGACTTTCGTCTATGCTTATCTTATGTTTTCTCCCATGAGTAACAGTAAGCTAAGCATGGACTTAGGTTAAACATGGGCATAAGTCTTTGCAGGATCAGGTCATTTGTCAGGTGTGATCCAATATGCCATTTTAAAATAAAAAGATTGACTTCAAGTCTGCTTTTTAGTAAAATGGTTTAAAATTAGAAGTGAAATTAATGTACTATAAATAGAAAAAGAGAAAATTGTATATAGTATTTGGATTTAATGACTGAAGAATCATTACATTTCCTAGCTTGTCGTATGTATGAAGTAGCTGCAAAGTTTTGTGTGTTGATTGTTTCACATTATTCTGTTACTTCTCTAGTTTTGGCTTTTGGCCTAGCTGATACCAAGCGTGTGATCCTGTGTGATGCAGAAAAGCCTGAAAGCTTACACTCTTTCTCAGTGGATGCTCCTATTACTTACATGCATTGGATGGAAGTAACTGAAGAAAGCAGGTAGCTCTAAAACTTTACAGTTAAATAGTGGAATCTAGTAGTTAAGCAAAAAAAAGTAACTTTGTCACACAGCTCAGTCACTTTTCCCACCACTTCATTAAAAAAATCCCCTTTTTTGTTTCTAGTGTAGGTTTTACATATATTTATTGATAACAATGCAGTTCTAGTGCTATAAGCCTGATATTTTTGTTCTCTAGTTATAAGAACAAGAACACTTTTAATAAGTATCTTGTGCATCCATTTATTAATTTATAGTTTATTATAGCTTATTTATTTAGATATATGTACTAGTATTGACTTGCATAATTGCTGCTCAGTTTATGTAATGGTGCTGTTATAATCATCAATCAATAATCAATATCAAACTTATTGCTGTAATCTGCTTTGTTGTACCTCGACAATGGAAAGTGATAAATTAAAATAATATTTTATCCACATTTTCAAGAATTTTAGTGATTTGTTTATTTTTAATGCATTGATGGAAGACCCATAGCTATTGGAAGTGCTGTCTTCATTTCGTTTGTATGTCAGGACATAAGAGTACCCCCATTGTCTTGCAATTTGAGTGCCATTAGTCATAAATTGTGCTTCCGTTCACTCTATGACATTCGCACAGATATGATATGTGCCCTCCATAGTTCCACATGCCATAGAGGAAGATGGGGGCATCCCCGCACACATTTCTGTGTCCTCACAAACATTTCTACACTGGCTATATTAAAAATCCAAGAAATTCCATAAACAAAAATTTTGTTTAAAAGGGATTAAGGCTAGGTAAGTGTGACATTCTTCCCCCTCCCCTCAAACACAAACCCTGAACCGGAAAGGAAATATTAAGCTAGGGGATATTTTTTAACCATAGACTAATGCCCTCGTAGCCTGTTTCCACACTCAGTATCTTCATAAGTAACTTCCTGCAGAATATGTTGTGGGCTTCCTTAATCTCTCTTTACAGTACTCTCTACATAATTTTAATTGCAGCCTCATGCTTCCAGCATAAACACACAAAATGCTGGACACTTAACTTATGGATATACGTTAACCTGAAATGAGGTTGTAAATAAGGTTTTGCTTTAGACTGAGGAGTCTTTCTGTTGACTTCAGTGGGCTTTGGATCAGACCCATAGACTTGTGCTAGGAAGTATTTAAAGCTCTTCAGGGCAGGATAAATACATACGTATATATATACATTGTCTAGCACAGTGAAGTCCTGTGCTCCATGATCATGGCCCCACACACTGTTGGAATGCAAATAATTAATAACGATGGAAGATTTGGGAAGCAAACCACTGAACAAGCAAATATAAACTTGTTCTCCCCCTTTCTATGTGGGAAACGCCAAGCCAAAAGGAGAGGATATAAAAACAACAAGATAGCTCACTAGCCATCTTGTATTGATGTGATTGTGTTTTTAAAAGTG